TATATTAAAATATATAAAAAATACATATATATATATATATATATTCATAGCTTGAGTGTAATCAGATTTCTTCTCATCTATTTCGTGATTCAGTGCATCTGCTGCAAGTGTGTTATTTTCCATCACTCCTTTATGTCGACTTTATGTATGAGGTAAAATTAAACTATAGAACATTCACTACATGTTAAATATTCGTTTTTTACAAGCTATACGGTATGCGGCTATACGTATGCAACTGAATTAATTTCAATTATATTTATTGAATTTGATCTCCAATTATATTTAATGTCAAACCTGTTAGGGATGTCTACAAGAGTATGTCACAACCAATAGAACACATACGCAAGCTTGTAAATATGGCACATGAACAAGCATATAAATAGAACGCATACCGAAGCTCCTAAAAATAGTACCTGATAAATAGGACATATACGCAAGCTATCAAACACAACAGATGGACAAGCTGTGTATATCATGGTACCGATACGTCCTAATTGGGTGACTAAATCGCATCGTTGTCGGCAAATCGATTGAGTAGTAGGCCGTGGGTCACCTCATTGAGCACAAACGATTTCTGGATAATTTCTAGGGGGAAACACGCCTTCAATTTGACTCGTGACAATATAGTATACCAACACTCGCTATCTATGTAGCTCGCAACTGAAATCAACGGGCATGGCTGTTCGTGTTTTGTTTTTATTCATTGTTTACACATCATGTGAATGCATATGTATAGATGTGTGAAACCCTAGCTAACAACCCTGTGTTGTAGTTCGGTACTATCGGCTCTCACGAGTGTCGGTTTGGCTTGTTGTATTCATTCGTTGTCAGCCCAAGGGCCATCAGGTACGCATGGAATAGCCACAAGGACAGCACCATATACATAGCTGTGAATAGGGAGAACGTAATTTGCGCAATGAGTTGTTGTACTGTATCGAGATTATTTCTCTACATAATATAATACAATCTTCTCGCTTTCCAAAGGAACCACCCAGCCCTGCAACAGATATAGATGTACCATAGACGTTCACGTCTATGCAAGTGGTCCTACTCAGTAGATGCAAAGTGTTATGCTGATCGACTTACCCACAGTATTCATCATCAAAGAAAACGTAACTACCGGTTGTGCGGCAAAGTCTGCAGCGAGTGAACTATAGTGAAGAAGCTCAAACCTGTGCGGTACACCATCAGGGATGTGGTAGAGGATTAATTAAAGATAAGTATAATAGTCCTGGGCAAAAGCGAGCAACAAAACATGGTTGGACTGACTTACGGATACAAATATCTGGTAGTAGAAACATGTGCGGGGACTTTAAGGTTTCTAGGTTTTTAGGGTTGTACACTCGTAAGAATAAAAGTACTAGTGTCGATGTACAGCAACTAATTACTAAAAAAACGCTCCCTTTTCCGTACCTGTTGGTACAAAACATACTGCGCGCACAGAGGACAAAAATATACATGTACAGACAAGCCGGATTATACAAATCCGAAGTAAAAAAAAAAAACTCATCCTGGAAACAGGACATAGCACCCACGAGCTCGAACCAGTGCAGATTGCATCTTAAATCCATTTAGGACAGAGACGTCCGTAAGTTTCCAGATATGCTACTCTCCGCACTTTAAAAGGTCGTCCAATCTTAATCAACAGAACAACAACATATGAATTAACCAACACTGCCCCATGACGATTAGAATACGTACTTAAATACATGCATACATAGCATATAGGTATATGCTATGTATATGTATGTGTGTATGTATATGCATATTTATATATATATATACATATGTATATGTATATAT